ATAGTATATATATATATATATATATATATATATATATATATATATATATATATATATATTCTTTTCCTCTTATTTCTCGTCGAACAGAATCGCAACAACCATCGACTTTTAACCAAGGATGGCCAATTCCTGATCCGATCCCTTCTCTCCATCGTTTTGAGATCGTTCCGAGAGAGAGACAAGTTCTTGTTCCTTCGAAAAGTTCCTCTTCGATCAAGGAGAGGAATATTGGATGCAAACGACACGAGAGTTCGTCTTTCGTCGATTCATTATGTCAATTGTCAATTGTTTCGAAAATAATAAACGGCCAATACGAGCGGCCATCGCACTTTTAACAATTAATTTCGCCAATATCAGAGAGAGAGAGGAGGGGGGGAGAGGAAGTAATGCATCGAAATTGGTAATGTTCTCCCCCTCCCTCAGGCTATACTACAGGGAGCATTAATTAAATTACAGCTGCGCGTGAATTACCATATCGTTACACCAATAATCATTTTACACCGTGTAAACGCGTGATTTAGATGTGCAGCAGTCTTGTTGGCTTATTAGAGATACGTTTATTTTTCTTTCTTTTTTTCTCTCTTTCATCGATCGACGACGACGATAAATACGTATTATTCTTATTTCTTGTTCGCGTGTGTGAAAAAATCATACGTATTTATACGAAATGATTGAGCGGCAAACATTTAACACGGCCAAACGTGCAAACGGGCAACACATATAAATGCGCATTATGCGAAAGTAATTACGGAATTGGTAGGTTGAAAATTTACATTTCAGGGATACCGACGAATTCGAACGGCCGGGATTTAATGAATTTCCATAATGGACCGGGCAGGGATTCGCGGAGGTTCGCGCTTTAACACGATGGAAAAACTGTTTAAAACACCTACACCACGCTGTGTTTCTTCAAGAAATACCGCTCACCTTTTCGAAGCCCCCGTTAGTAAAATATTTCTCTCTACCTTTTAAACCGATTAAATAATACCGATTTATCGAATAATCCGTGTTGCGTCCAATTAAAAAGGGCTGGCTTATAAGAATAACATTCTCGATCGAAGGTTATAAAAATATATATACGCTTTTTTTATTATCCAAATGTTTGGATAATTGGAACATTACGCGAGAATCTAAAGCGAGAGGATTGGAAAAGTAGGAAATTTTTTTTTCAATCCTCACTCGCGCGTTAGAAAATATATACATGTATTCACGTAGATTATTTTCTAGTTTCTTCGCAGCACAGTGGAGTGACAGAATACATACAGAAACGTGAGACAGCCACGTAGAATCACGTGTGTGTAGAAAAATATGCAGGTAAAATAAGAAGTCATTCTCGGATAAGTAGAATAAGACGATCGTGTTCGGATATGTGAAGCGAGGATATCTGCCAAGCTGCAAAAGTAAATGGTTATAATCAGAAAATAGTGTAACAACTGTGCAATGAATATTTTCCATTTCGTGCGTTTCGTTTATTTTAATAATTCGAAGTTTTAAATTTTATTTAATTATGAAATGAAGGAAGGAATAATACGGCTCTTTTTCCCATTCCCACCTGTATATATCCCGGCCGTCCATATTAACGGAACTCGTTAGCTAACAATTCTAGTTGAAACGAGTCGGATAGTTGGCTACATTCGCGCAAAAGTGTCGAGCATGAAACAAATATCGTCAAAGTAATTAGAGGCGGTCGTTGATCAGCCGAATACCTTTTTTTTATCAAAAAGTTTTATCATATCCTCAACCGATTTAAACTTTTTATCTTATTATTATCAATGAAAACTGCAAACTGCTTCGCTTCATTTCGAAATCAATTGTCAACGTTCTCGGTCGAAAAGTAGGAAGGAAAATGTAATTAGAATCGAAGAATCTAGTGGAAGAAAGATGACAAGAGAATGAATAACAAATGATGTTCTCACAACTCGTGTAAACAATTCACCGATAACATGTTGTGAGACGCGCGATAAGCGTTATCTGTCGAAAAACACGTGTCGTTGGAAGAGATTTAACGATACGTGGTATTTCGACCTGTCGATCTGGAATCCATTTTTCACGCTTCTTTTGAATTACAGTTTTTACAGAGCCCTTGAGGTAGCAAGAATTCTCCAACTCGCGCAAACTGGCTGTAATAATTCGTCCAAAAAACAATTCCAATCGCGTGGAAAAATTTAGAAAACTTCTGCAACGACCGGAAAGAAAGAAGTTTTCTATTCCAAAGATGTAATCGAGAGGAGGGAAGGGCACGAAGATTAGATTTTGAACTCTTGATGTATCGATGACGAACAATAAGAAGAAGACAACGATAATTAAATCGGCAATCGAATTGTTAAAAATTTATCTTTCGAATCGGAAGTATCGGAAAAATTGAAGCGAAACCGATCCGTGTCTTGCACCAATTCGAGACAGAATGAAGAAAGTCGGGATACGTTCGATCGCCGACTTTGTGTGTTCTTGAAACTCGCGCGAGTTTTGAAGGAATCGAAATTGCAAATCTTCGAGAAACTTTAAAATGATCCTACCCGGCGAGCTGTGACGACAATGTGACACAAGTAATTACTTGGGATAAAATAAGAAACGAATACGTCCAGCAACGTAAGAGGAAGCAAATAAAAATATCGTTTACACAATTTATTTTGGCTCGAGTGAAAATTTATTTTATTTGCCTTGATCCGAAGATTAAAAATGATATCCTTTATTTGGTCTAATAAATTTAAAATTAAACTCAAACCCCGTCTTGATTGCATTTATCATTGGATTATGCAATCATCTTACGCAAATGTAAATCGTAAGGAAGCCGTGTACACGAACAAGTTCGTTTTCTCGAAACCATAAGAGAACGTTTGCTGCTCGTTTGTGACGCGCGGCTGAACGAGCAACGACACTTGATACATAAATCCTTACGTTTCACGAGCTTTATACAAACTCGCGAAATCGATACGGGGATAAAAATCCTTCGACCCCTTTTCACCTCGATCCACCATATCACAATTCAGAAAAATAAGTCATACGTTTATCCTTAAACCTCAATCAACACAATACGTACTCGATCTTTTCCCTTAATTTTCGAAAAATGCGAGAAAAATTGTCGAAAAACGAATTCTTTCTACTTGTTGCTCGTAATACCCCCCTTTAAAACCAGCCGCGTGTCCGGAGGCAACTGTCGATCACCTTAAATCGGCGTCCCGTGTTTCAATAGCCGTGCCTTTTCGGTGTATGCCTTATCGAGTGGAATAGAATGGAGAATTTCCATGGCTGGAGA